TTTTCACACCACTGTATATATATACACTATTGTTGTATGATTTAGAGACAAAACATCAGTTTGTAAAATACGATGCACTCCACATTAATATATCTTAAAGGGGCCTCTCTGCTGCATAATAATGACTTACCATATGTGAAGTACTTGTTGCTGATAGACAACAGGAGCTTTAATGGGAGTATTCTCAAAATGTGGTTTCACTGCTTTTTCTTAAGTACAAGATCTGAACACTGGTGTAGCTTAAACTTAAACGCAACAAAAACTGGATTTTGTTCCTTTTCACAACCAGTGTGGTGAAGAACATGTACATAGAATATGAGCATGTAAATACTGTTATAGTGGATGAAGAAATATGAACCCTGTCCTTTAACTTCAGGCTGTTTCTTGTTGGGAGTCAAAGAAAAACGCAAATATATAATAATATAAAATATAATCTATAGAAACAATATTTGGTTATATCCATCAACCAGTTGATCCTATAATAGTTTTATTTTCTTGTATCTGAATGAGCCCATTTAATTCACATCTTCAGGTTTCTGTGGCAGTTTGTTTAAATTTAAAAAGATCCTTATCAAAAATGTTTGTTTAAAACCAAAAACAAATTTCAGACATGTTAATTTTATTCCAAAAAAATTTAACTTTCAAAACTGTCAATTTGTCAACATACAATCATAGAACAATATTGAATGTACTCAACACTTCCAACATTAAATAATAAAAAAATAACAGCCATGTTTTATGTACATTTGTTTCTGGAAGCTATGTACAGAAAAAAAAAAAATACAAGAAAATAAAAGGAACTCAACTTTGTATTTCCAAACTCTGCCTACAAACGTACGCCTGGCAGTCGAAGTATTGAAGCTTGCAGAAAGCCATTGCATCATAAAAACAGGTTGAGCAAACGCAGCGAGGGAAGAAGAAAGAACGCGGGCAGAAATCCAACACTGCGATTGTGACTGAGATTAACTCAGAGAGGGAGAGATTAACTGGCAGCATGTTAAAGAGCATACTCGTGAACATCATAACTACAGCTAGAAAGCTTATTTATCTCTAAAATGGTCTCCTGTGAACGTCAGCTAGCTGCATCCTTTAAGACACCAATGCATACACGTAACTTGCCTAGTATTTACTGGATGTAAGCGCATTGTAAAGATTGGAAACACGAAAATTAAGATCGTAAACTGTACTTTTGTTGTTATCAGATCGCCTTACGATGAGGCAGCAGGTTCTCACTGAACAGAGCAGCCAAAAGTCATGCTATCAAGAACAATAGTTTGTAGTTTTTGTAGCCCAATGAGCAGAGATTATTCTCCATTCTGGGGTTTAAGCCATGCTACCATCTTTTATTTTTATTTTTAAAACAGCTAAATAGAGTCCATGCAACTCACATAAAAGAAAAAGTAATAGAAACAAAAACAGGGAACAGAACACTGGGTATCACGCCAAGTTTTACCACCCCTCTAATTTTCTGTGCTTTAGTTTTCATAAAGAAAACCAGGAACACATAAAAGTCATTTGCTTGCTTTTCTTATTTTTTTTCTTTCTTACATTGGTTTGGCAAGAACTGCAATTCTTTTTTTTTTTTTTTAAATATGAAATCATGCTGTGTGGCTCAAAACCCCCGATATCACACTGAACATTGATAATCTTAGTCGTGTGCGAACAATATAGGCAATACACAGCACGATACAGTCAGATTTGGACATGTTTTTTTCCACAGAACGAGTGGTAGGACGACCCAGAACCAAAAAAAAGCCGTATTGCTCGTCATGACACAGTTCAAGCTCTACTTTTCAGTCAAAATGGCAACCAATGTTTCTTCAAACCCCCCCCGCCCCGCCCGCCCCCGAACATGAATGCACTCCAGATCAGAGTCCAAATTATCAGCTGACTATGCATAAAAAGTGATTAACTCTTTAACACTTTTGTGTGATAAAACCAATTCTTCAGGATGGAACAGCTGCTACAAAATGTATTTTTAACATGTTACAGAACATGCACATAACATTTTTTTTTTTTTTTTAAGAATACAAACTGATGTGTAATCTTCAACAGCCACTAACATGGGAACTGTAAATAATGTGGCGTCAGGCTTTTAATCTCCCCTTTCAGAAGTGCAAATGAGACCAGAATATTGACACCCAATGGTGCAGCTACGTCCCATCCTACTACAATATTCTGCAGGAGATCAGCTGGTCTGCGGCGACACGTTGAGACTTGAGAGCCGTGAACTCTGCCACAGACTGAAAGCAACAGCAGTTATACATAGCGACCGGTGACGCGTCTCCCCCACCCCGTCCCTCCCTAGACAAGACAAATGTGTAGCATTCTCTAAATCTGCAGCACGGAGCGCCATCTCTCCGCCGTTTAACGCCACGTGGCTTTCACTTCCGACAGGTCCGGTGAGGCGTGTGTTTTTTGGGCACCTCGATGCGACATCGGCTTCGGTCATCCAGCCAAGGCAGCTC